AAGATATTTAACAACATTTGTTAAGAACTGAAACTATACAGTGACAATAGGTATCATCGATGACTAAAATTCAGATATTTTTGTTCAGAAATACTGTGTACATTTGTACAATCCATTCTCTTTATCAAGATATTTTAAAGAAACTTGTTTGTTCCCATCAAGTTATTTCTACCAGATTTCAACATATTTGGCAGGGCAATAGGAAAGCATTTTATCAGAAAAGGAACAGGGTTCCTGTTATTGTCTAACGATTATTGCCATTTATCATTTTCAGTGCCCAAGAGAGTGCTAGAATATTTTCGGAATATATTTCAAGAACAGACCCTGGCTGAAAGACCATATGTCTGTTTTGGTAATGAAGAATATTAATCAGTATGTTTTTCATTCAAAGGGATTCCAAAGTACTTTACAAAATTAATATAGGGATTACACTTCCACCATTTTGAAAGACAAAAGCCTTTTTTTGTCTTTTGAACCTTTTATGCTTAGAATATAGTCATCTCTCTGTGAGCCCAGTCCAGATCCAAGCCCCTTGCATTCTCCTGACACTTCCTTCCCATCCCAGTCTAACATTAGTCTGAACAAGATCAGTTCGGTTACAGTCCTCTTTACTTTCCCTGCTCTTCTGCATCCACACTGGGGTATTTACAAATCAGCATCTGTTGGGCATCTTAACATCACACTGGGCTTATCCACACAAGATGCTGACTGTGCACTAGCCGGATACTACTGTGCAATAGCATCACATGGCATAAACTGCTAAGATGCTACGGTGCACTAGTTTAGGCTACTGTGCAGTATCATCACTGAAAGGCATTCGCCAGCACTACTGCTCAGTAACTCCAGTCACTGTGCATTTATTTAGTACTTGCTTATACTAAATATACTATGCCTACCTAACCAGATTTCCTTCTGGTTAGGGGTGGTCCCATAATGCATTATATAACTGATTTGGAGGAACACATTATATGGGATTTGAAGACAGTAGCTGTCTTTTCACAACAGACTTGCTCAGTTCTTATTGTAAACTCAGGATGACACAAATTCTGCTTTTTCTCAGCATTCCTATCAGAAAGGACAGGAGAAAGTGCCATCAGGGCCCAGCTATGGAGGGCTTGTTTGTTTGTTTTTATAAACAAAAAGGAAAAGGCAAGGTTTTGGGCCCAGGCCAGAAGAAATCAGCTCAAGAATCATTTTTTTTAAAAGTAGAAATGAACAACCAAAAGAAAATTAGATGTTGCACTCAAGTATTGCACAGTTTATGCATTGTATGCTTTCCTCTGATGAAACAACTGGCCTTTGCCACGTTCAAATATAGGGTATTAGACTAGATGGACCATTAATTTGATTGTGAAAATATCAGCATGCTTGCTGGAAAGGAGTGGGTTCAAGCTGGATTGGAAGAATGGAGAAAGGGAAAAAGAAGCAACAAGAGACAAAAGAAAGGAGAGGTGTAAAGAAGCAATGGACTGTAAAGAGTTAAGTTTAGATAAGCTTTCAAAATCTGAAGGGCTTAAATACTAATAATAGGAGCTTTGGAAATAAATGTTACAGAGATTTGAATTTCTGAACTGTTTAGCTTCCCCCATTATGGCCTTCTGGCCTTCTAATTTCTTAGTACTGTACTAACTGTTCAAATCATTGCTCTTAATGAGAAAGAGAAAGGCATTTCATTTTTTTCCAAAATGGTGCCATCTTGTTGTTTCTTTAATACTAGCTCTACCTTTTGTGCCTCACAAACTACTTTTTGGCTGTTTCAGAGTTATTAAGAATCTTTAAAGGGAACCATGGACTCAGAAAAAGCTTCCATTCTTGTTACTAATCGCACTGTTTGTAGCTCAGAACAATGCAACAAATGACAACTGAGACTGGAAGATTCCACATCTTTACTTGCTTGTGAAATGCCTAGTCTACTTCTTACAGGGTGCATCTACATGTGCAATGAATGTGATGTGATAAACGGGTGCAGCTTGTGCCGGAGTCAGCTGCTCCTGGGTGCAGTGTCTACACATGTGCCCTGGGACAACAGCAGTTTAAGCCAGGGCAGAGTAGCCCTAGCAGTAGGTTCAGGGGTTCAGCCCTGGGCTCCAGGTGGTGGTGTCAGGCAGCAGAGTGGCTGGTGGGGACATAAGAGTGCTAAAGTGTGGAGCCATGCAGCAGGCAGTCCCTGCACTTAGCAGTGCCCTCTCATGCTCCAGCCAGCCCCTGCCACCATCTACACTTGTGTTTCGTTGTGCTTAATTACTCTGCTGTGAGAGTAATTAATATTGGCTTACATGTAGACAGCGATGCTTTATGGCGGAGCTAACTGTTCAACTTTGCAGTAAAGCGCATATGTAGATACACCCACAGAGTACCAAAAAGTAACAACTCCTCTGTGTTGCTGATCTTTCAGAACTCCTGAGAAAAATACAGACAGGGGAAATGGGGAAGAGGAACTTTGTATTTACTAGGTTAGTCTGACACTTGCAGTTGAACATCTCTCAACTAAACATTAGAAGAATGATTTTGTTTGTATGCAGTTAAATATCAAACTTCCCACATAAACAGGCATTTTAGCTCTGTTTATATGTTGACCCTAGATTGTTTTGAAACTATGCTGTACACTGGTAGCAAGAAACTTGTTAAAAAGCATTAAGAAAGCTTTTCAGATGAAGCTTGTCAAATACCACTATTATCTTGCTAACATTTCCAAGTCTCCTTCAGTTTGGTTATGTGCTTCATAAACGTTAAACCTGTTTCAGGACTAGTCTATTCTGTGCATTAGCTCAACAAACAGTTTACCTGTGGGTTTTTTTCCTCCTCCTCTTTTTTTTTTTTTTTTTAAACAATATGAATGCCTTCAACCTTGTTTCAAACATGAGGACTGATGAATTACACGGATTTTCATAGTGCTAGTTTAAAAAAACCAATAATCAGACCAATATGAAGCAAGTGACATGTACAAATAGTGGTCAAATACTGTGAATTTATAAACCAATAATTATTAAAAGGATTCTAAAAACATACAGTAACACTGGTATCAGGCAGTCTGTAGTCATATCCTACAAAAAAAGCTCTTTGACTATATCTAGTTGGAATAAGACCAATGCCAGCACAATTCAACTCCATTTATTTTCTTCTCTTGCCTCACTTATGTTCCTATTTTGTAGGATATTTGCAACTCAGCCACAACAACGAAAGCCTGGCTGGTAACTCCATTGTGTCATAATGCTACAACAAAAATATTAAAATTACTGGAGACTATATGTATTACTTATTTTTCTCCCTTTTCTTTTCTAGCATGTGTTTATGAATGTGTGAGGGAGGAAGAAGAACTCAGATAGAAAGTCATAAATGGAAGAAGAGCCTAAAAGAAAAAATAACCCCTGCCAGAAACACTGATAAGGAACATTGGCTAAAAAACTATATAGAACCAAACTCTTGTCTCGGGTGTGGCTGGCTTTAGAGAGCTACACAGAATTGGTTTTTACCCCTTTTTGTCCAAATGAAACTTAATAGTACAATCGGGCATTTAATATTCAGGCAGTATGCTAAAAAGCAAGAATGAAGTCCAATGAATACAACTGCACAAAAGTTTCCCACATTCAAAAAAGTCTCAGAGTACATGCATACACCCACACCCTAGTTAGCGTATTGCCCTTTAAAATCAGTATGAAGAACATGAGAAGTATTCTTTAAGCACTGCAACTTCAGACTCATACATTTATCTTGCCATTAGTCAGAGGCATTCTTGCTGTATGTAAAATACTTGATTTAAAATCCTCCCTCACTAAAATCAAATCAATTTACTAGAAAGAGACCACTATAAAAAGAAAGTGTATCTGTCACACAGGAATGTGTGAATACATACGTTAGAAACCCACAACAAACAAAGGGAGATAGAGGGAATCTAATTGTCCAAGCAATGAAATTCCCTCATGGACTTTTAAAAACAACAGCAAAAAGTTAATGTAAGAACAGTAATAAAAAAAATTACCAAAACCCCCTTCACCTTAGAGACTTCAGACACTTGGAGATTGTTCATATCAGGCAAAGAGACTTCAAAGTTAGATGCTCTCATGTTAAAATGAGGAGGGTCTGCTGAGGTTGTATCACATGATGTAGACAGTGAGTCTATGTGATTTGTATCCTCGGAGGGAGAAAGAGTTATGATCTGTTAAAAGAACACAAAAAAATGAAGTGTGAAGCAACTCTGCCACACGGCTTTTTTCTATACATGAGATATGAACATTGGGTTAATGCCATCTTTGTACTACTTTGTATCTTGTGTACTTATTCATCTTACAATATTTTAAATGCTTTCTTTTAAATTGTTTTAAGCATCCCAACAATGAATACTTAAAAATCTAATGCTGTTCACAAAAATGGAACCTTGCTGCATTTTCTAAATGTTGCATACCCAAAGAATTCCACATCAGCCACTTACACAAATCTGGGATACAATAGCTCACTGAAAAAGTGCTACTTATCAGATTTGACGCTTCCTGTGTTTAGAACTTAAATCAAACTTTTTTTTACATTTGCAACTAAAGGCAAAGCAAACAGCAAGGAGGCATTCAGAAACATGAAACTTGTTCTGCAGTTCCAGCTGACCAGCTTCCATGTAGGCAAGAGAAATGTAAAAAGTCAGTTTATTAAAAAGCGCTATTTATAATCTATAATTGAACAACTTACAAGGTCTGAGTGTTCCAAGATTTGGCTTGTTGTTAGGTCCTCCTCCTCTGATGACTCATCGGAGTCCTCATGGTTCATTTTATTTAGACTGGGTGTACTTCCTGAGAGCTGGCTTTCCTCCAGAAGCTGCATATCACACTTGTCCAGACTATCTAGAGAACGTCTGCGCACTCCCCAGTTGAAATTGTCCATACTCTCACCCTGAAACCATACACAGGTTAGTTTGCTTTCCTTGTCATCATATTAATGGTTTGGAAAGTAATTTTAGAATTTGTTCTAATTTAACAGAAGAATTGTTTTGACAGGCTATATAGTACAATTCCAATATGAATGCAATTTTAAGCAACAAAGTATGCTGGAACTTTTGACATTTTTTAAGATTTCATCTGGAAGTAAGAGCATAAGCATAGAAATGGAAGTTAAATGGGTATTCATTATTTGAATATGAAGTATTTTTTCATGCTTTAACTAGTTAAAAAAATTACTTTTATATTTCCATAAGCATGTCTATGTAAATCTCAGTATCAATGAAACAGTGGTAGCCTAGATAAAAAAATAAAAGCAACCTGAAAAGATTTTTCCCATGTTATTTTAAAACATTAGGAACAAAAATTTGTTATATCTTTATAGTAATATTTCCATAGCAAACCATATGTTAAAGATTTTAGAGTCTCTGTATTACATATATAAACACAATAATGAAAAGCAGAGTTAAAGTATATTTGAATGCAGCTCTTAAGACAGCATGCATAATGCAATAGCTAAAGCAGCACAGCTTTTTTACTTTTATTTTAGGTCTAAGACTGATTGTTTTCCCCCAACAGTAAGAGGACTAATTTGGAATTAGATTCCACTTTTTAAAAGGACACAGGCAGCTTGGAAATCCAGTTTCTGTCTGAACATCCAAAACTTACTTTAGGTTCTGATCCTATACACAATTATATAAACATGAGTTAATTTTAAGCATTATCCATAATTATTTTCAGAACTGGGAAAACTTGCAAATGAAAGGAATTAAAACTATTTTCCATTATTTACTTTATTCATTACCAGTGCTTTGCAGATAGACCATTTCACTAATCTGTGATCACGTTAGGAGCTGTTCCTGTCAACGCTTAAACATAAGCATAACTTAATTTCTTTGCGCAGGCCCTCTGAAATGACAAGGGCCTTCCACAAGTACAGGTGTCCACCCATGTAAACCCAATGGAAGGCCCCAAGACTACATACTTTTCACCCTTACTTAAAAGGCCCTTATAACACATCAACATGAAAAAAAATTATAGAGGAGAATTATTTTTTACAGTTCACAAATTTCATTTTAAATCAGTACTCTAGAAGAAAAAAAATCCTAAAAAATTAGGTATTACAGATGAAGCATTTTATAGGAACTAATTAGGCTGCATCCATGCAGAATAAAACCCTACATAATAGGCCTTTTTTCATTAAGCTAGTTAAGCAGGTGCTTAACTTTAGGCAAAGAAATAGTCCCATTGAGTTTTATACGACTGCTTTACTAAAATGAGGTCAAAAAGTGCATAAGCAGAAATGAATTCAGGTGGCAAACTTATTTTAAATCAGTCATTACATCATTTTGGATCTATGCTTTTTAATGAAAAGAAATTTAACAGATCAATGCTGAGCAGAAAAGCTCTGCACAGCAAAGTGAACTAACCCTTCAGGAGTGAAGACAGAGGAAAATAAAAACAAGGAAGGATGTATACAGCTCTAGTAGCTATGTCAAGTGAAAAATTTGGTTGATCCTCTGGAGTCAACAGCAAACTGACAATGAAGCCATCCTGGAGTTAGATACAGTGTTAGAAGAATATTATAATTTTCATATTTGGAGTTAGGATCCAGAGGTCATCATTAGAAAAGAAGAGAAACCACATTCAATGACTAAGAAAGTTTGTCTCCTGGAATTGTAAAAAACTATTTTAGATTTTCCAACTATTTGTATATTTTAGTTAATTGCTTTTCCCCCCAACATGAAAGCCACAAGCAACTGCATCAGTGGAACATCTCCACAAGACACCAGTTATCTCTCAAAAAATACACTGGTTTCATACTTGTTCTCATGATGCCAAATGCTAGTCAAATTTCTACTGGTTTTACTTGGCAGCTGGTACAACAGAAGTATGACAGTAATTTTTTCTGGTGCTAATCCTCCTTGAAATTGCTCAAGGAAGAAAGACTGGGGCAAAAGGATGAGAAATAAAATGGAAGGCAATGCATGGTAAATGTAATAAGCAAAAAGTGGGGAAGACAGAGTGAAAGGAAGTACAACAAAGGAAAAGAAACTATAGATGCAGGAGAGGAGGATGGCAGAAAAGGTGAAATATACATAAAGTAACTGGGAGGGCCTGATCTTGTCAATAAATACAAACTGGCACTGAATTCAGTGAGTAGCTGGCATATATATAATATGGCAGGATTTCTGCATCATAAAAAACAATTTGTTGAAAAAAAACAATCAAAATTATCAAGGGAGAAGGATTGCTATGAGAGGCTATTCTCTACTTGCAGTTAAAGAGAATTCACCTACACTGTAAAGATACTAGTAATGAACACAAGTCATTCCAATGAAAATCAGCCATTTCAACCCCTAAAACATGGCAAGATGTTACAGGAGACCCTAATAATCATAATTATCTAGTAGTTGGGTTAGATCCGCTCTGCATCCACACTAACCATTACTACAATCTATACTGAAATTGGGACTTCCCTATTTAAATAAAAGGGAACAGAACCCCCAAGACTCTTTACCAGGAGGATCGATGTTGTCTCCCCAACAAGCTCACAGGAATCACACTAACCTTATTCAGACAAGAATTCACTTTGCTTGGTTAACAAGATATAACTAACTTTGAATACAAATAGCATGGTACCTAAACATAAATGTTGTGCATTTAAACTAGATATGCCCTAGTAATCTGAGAATAATACAGAATTTCAATATGCTTTTGTCTGGAGCATAAGCTTTTTGGGACAGAGGCCATTTTTTGTTTGTTTCTACAGCACCTAGTCCAGTGTGGCTGTTGCTAGAAACAGACAGGCAACATTGTTGCTGCTGTTTGCTATCCTGTACTAGGTTCTTGTGTTGTTTCAATTTTTTACATGAAGTTGAAAGGTTACAAATTTAGGCCCCAATCCTGCAAAAAAAGCACACCTTACCTCATAGGCTGTGCGAAATTTTGCCAGCTGTTTTGTTATGATGGTGTTTCGACTTGTTTCGAGTTCAAAACAACAAAACTGAAATGAAACGAAAGGCTTCAAAACAGCCTCAAAATGAAACGAGGGAGTCAAAACATTTTGAAATGTTTTGAATTTTGAAGCTGAAGCTGTGCTTGCTTTCAGGAAACAGAAAGTAAGGAGAGGGAGGGGGAAGCGGGGGGGAAGGGCTGCTCTGACATTGACTATGTAGCTAGGCAGTGACTGTGATCCTTCCCTGAGGTGCCTTCCAATCCCAGTGCTCTGGGGTCCCAGCGCCAGTGAGGGTGCGCTTTAGCACATACACAAAGTCACAGGTCACGAGTTTTGCTTGTCAACAGCTTGAGGTGCACTTTCCCAGAAACCTCTTCACCTATCTCCTTGAAACCTGGCAGGCTTCATGGCCTCATAACATGCTACCATGCCTGCTGTTTTCACCCTCGTGTGCCTTCACACTTACAAGTAACATGAGTTTTGCTTTCAAGACTTTGAAATGCAGTTTCCCAGAAACCGCTGCACCTGTCTCCTTGAAACTTGACAGGCTTTGTGGCCTCAGCTTTGTGTTTTTGTTCGAATCAGGAAAGAAATGACAAAGTTATAGGCAGTTTTGTAATTCCCCATTATAGCCTATGGGAGAAACATCGAAACGTGTCAAAACAGCGAAACAGTTTTGACAAAACGAAACGGAACAGTGCTTCAAAACGAAATGAAACTCGAAATGAAACTCTGTCCCTTCAAAACGGCAAAACAGAAGTCGAAATGAAATGGTGCTGTTTCACACAGCCCTATTACCTTGACTCTCACAACTTGTTTTATTGCAATAAATTTGATTGACAAGTCATGTGAGCAGTTAAGCATGAATGGTTTTGCAGTATTATAGAAATACAAAGCCAGCAAAATTGTTTTTCATTTAGGGAGAAATTTGGACTATTGAAGGACATAACAGAGGCTGCATATTTCAATTTTACTAGCATACTAATAGGAACAAAGGTACCACATGAACTTCAGTGTGGAAATTAAGAATGGTCAGTTATTTAACACTGAACAAATGCTACAACTTTGTTGTATTTTATTATATTCTTAATGAGACATTAATTTTTAGTTTTTTAGTTTCTGTGTTCTATTTGTGTACTAAAATTATTTAGAAAGACAACTGGTTATTTTGTAAAACATAAAATAAAAAGTGAGTGAATTTTGCCTAAAATCAATTAGTTTTTTGAAAAAGTTATTTTAAAAACACAAAAAATCACATTCATATAAAAGTTCAACCCAAATTAATTTCATGATTTAAAAATCAATCTTTCTAGCTGTCTAAAGTATTTCTAGAGTAGGCCAGCAAAAGAAACACTCTACTTCACATTCTTTCGCTCCCCTCCCCCCAACTCTCTCTCTCCAAAAGAGAAAAAAAAGCTGTGATATTCTTTTATATAAACATTTGCAATAATGCATAGCATCTACTAGCACATCTGAGTTCAAATAGCATTATCTTACCTGAAGTTCCTGGATAGCAGATATAATAGATAGAAAAACAAATAAAAAAGTCTATTTAAAATTACTGTATTAAAGATTCCATAGACTTAAAACATTTGTCCTACAATAGTAAATAATGCCATCAGATAATCTACTGTCCTACCTTGAATTTTAAAAAAATATTGTATCATGTGTTTTGACCTCTTTATTAAATAGCAAACGTTCACATCTTGTGACCTGGGAATGATGCACTCAGTATCAACCTGTTCATATTGTAAGTGTTTCCAAAATAGCTGCTTGCGTTTGTGCTACTCTGAGCTTCCCAACACTATTTTATTCATATTTATACATATCAAATTCAGACCTGATGCCAGTGGTATGATGAAGTCATAGAGAAATGACCTTGTATAGCAGGGCTGAATTTTTTCAAAATGTTAAATTTACAGCATGTCAAAAGAGTGGAAAGTTTAGTAACAGAACATACATTAGATTGTTCAGTGATGCTGCCATCGTTCAAATGAATATGTTTTCTCCCACCAGTCTACATCCCTGTTTCCAGGGATTAATTTAGTCTGGGTTAGATTTTGGCCTACAAGGTCTGAGGTATGAGGCATTTCATATAGTGTTTGAGGGTTTTTTTAAATGTATTTTTAGTTTTCATTCTATGTAAAAAGTTGGATACTTGCTCCAAGGGCACCAAAATACAGGCTTAAATTTAAAGATTAAGAGAAAGCTCTATCATCAGCAGTTCAATTCTGGGAAAGCCAAAACATATAAATCTGCAGTGGAGATTATTCCCGGAAAGGAGGAACTAGTCACTCTAGGAAATTTATTCTCCATTTCTACCTGACTCCATAACTGTTACATATTTGGTATGGTCAGTGGTAAGGTCACTGAAAGTCTTCCCTATGATGAGGCCTAACTCAGTAATAGGAATTAATCTGTTTTAAAGTATTAACTTTTTTAATTACAATGAACTACCACTACAAGGTATTTTGCACACCTCAACCAAGCATGATTGGCTGGTTTTATGTTACAGCCATTTCCCCCATTCTTGTATTTGATATTTCCTAATTTAGCCTCAGTCCTGAAATTAAACATATTGTCAAATCTTTTCAGAATCAGGGCCTAAATTCTGGGACAAGTATGAGCCTGTGTCAGGTTTAAGGAGCACGAATCTAGTTGAGGGCCTTCTAATCTTGATTAATGCTACTACTCCTGCATAGTAGTAAGAGGTTGCTAGTTGGTTTGCTGTCTTGTATACCTTTTAAATCTTGGCTCTGGCTAAATACTGAACCTTTCTTCTACCATCTGATTTCAGTAGCTGAAGGGAAGAAATAATTCCCTTAATTTTCAGCCAATGAATAAGGAGTAATCCTGTTTGCATGATTCTTGTGCTATTTTATCATTCTGATAATTGATCCAACAAAATCAACATCCAAATAGGGTTATAAAATAGGGTTATAAATTATGACTATATTGTAAATGAATATATAACAACTGCAACCATTTTTAAAAGACAAAAGCAAATTGTTGTTATAATTATCTGGTGTGTGAAAGTTTCCCCAAACAGCTCTGTCCACATACTTCAACCCTTGCAAATCCAAACCCTTGCTTTTCCAGTTGAGGGACCAGTTTGGGTACAGGCTGCCAATTATAACAACAACATTTTGATGTGGAGAGTATGACAAGACAACCAGCTTGGAAAATAGGGAAGGAGAGAGGCCTCATGAAATCTCTCTTCTATCTCATCAATGGAAAGAAAAGGTTGCAGATATATCATCTGACTACTCCTAGTAATGGGAATGTTGGACTGCCTCTCTGCTCCTAGTAATGACCAGTGGTGGGGGTGCAGGTGAGCTCTGCTGCACACATTTCTTCTCAAGGCTAAGAGTGATGTCTGAGCAAATTCATATCCAATCTGCATCTTCACTGTGGCAAGACAGACCTGCTAAGCTATCAGGTTGGTCAAAGGTTTGCATTTTAAATGCACGTACCTGGATTTTTAACAATGTGAGATCTCACATTGGATATGAACTTCTTGTTCATTTCTGTCCAAGTTAAGAACTATTCACCATTGATACAAACTTGGTTAACAGTTTAACGATTTTAAAAAATTCCACAGCCCAACAACGCTGTCCCTCAACTGTATGATGCACACTTAATTGCATTTCCTTTGTAGCAGTTGTAATTAAAGATGAACTGACAGACTTCACCTGCCAAGACCTGATGTCAGGCCCTCAGGGTTCTGTTTTACTCCTGCAAGACCGGATGAAATCATTAACACCTAAAGAGAGGAGAGGCTGTCTACCTTTAAGTGTTGGTGATTTCATTAACTGTTGTGAGAGAGACAGAACCTGAGAATTGGAATTCAAGTTTTGGGAGGTTATTGAAGAAGGAACTAATTTTAAAACAATTTTGTTTTATGGTCTAATATTTAAAGTCTGCTCATGTATTATATTAATGATTTGTGATCTTCAGCCACTTCAAAATTAGAGAAACTTGATATCTGTATTGTTGCTAAAGCTTCAGCTTTGCCTTTCAGTAATAATTTTGCAGCATATCTTGAAGTGGAGTCAGAGAGGAAGGGCGTGGTAACTCACTAAAAATGTTATGCTACTGCAATAACAGTATCTGACAATTATAAATAATCCAACTCAAGATTGGGTTTACAATCATAGTTATTTTTGTTTTAAAGAGTTCATTATTTAGTGGTAAGAACGTCAAATTATATTTTACCCAGAGAAAAGTTTAAGCAAAGTTTAAGCCATGTCAGAGACAGTATACCATACCTCCCCATCTTCCAGTTCAACATCAAGGAAATCGAAGTCCCTAAAGACTCTGAACTGTTGTTCACTGTTTGAATCATCCATGTTCTCTTGTTCTCTTGTTCCGTCTTCTGAGGACACCAAGCTTGTCTGGTGCTCAATCAGATCCAAATCACCACACGAAGAAAAAATAACCTGCAATTCAAAGGATTTCTCTTTTGAGAAACTGTTCCCTCTGGTTGTTTCTTAGTAAAAGCTGTAATTGGTTATTCAGAAGACTCTGTTTCCAGTACACACCTAATTCCTTCAGCTGATATTTTTAGAACGCTCTTTTATTATTTATGTTGGACAGGTGCCTTCAGATTAAACTTGAACAAAGACGTAACTTCACACTGCAGGAACGTGTCCAAGAAAATAACTGCTACCTCCTAATGGCTACAGATTGATGTTGCCTAAATGTTTATATACATTTATGGGAATGATATTCAAACATCTCACTACAGAGGAGATTGTTGAGGGAATAAGTTAATACTTTCACCAGAAAACTTCTAGTTAAATATGTTTAAGACCATGGAGAGAGTAGCAAAAAAACAAACCAAAACAAAACAAAAACAGACTAATTTGTGCAGCAGTAGCTTTTCCTTTCTTACCAGAAAATAACTGTAACTGCAGATTAAAGAAAAACTATTTGTTTTATGGCACCAGTTTTACTCAAACTAAGAATCTGTCTACACTAGCAAGATTTAAATATTAATTACCTATCAAAAAGCATTCAAGGTTTGTACATTTCTATAAATATTTAATCGTTATTTTAAGATGATAAATACAAATCTTTCCTTTGAAATAAAAAAGACTCTCTAAATAAAAAAAAAATGGAATGGTCTTTTGAACATTTTACTACATGAGACAATATTCATTCCCTCAAAGACTAATATTGGAATAATTATCTAATAAAGAAATCAGGGCCCTAAACCTCATTTTCCCCCTGTAATTTAATTTAGTGCTGTTGGAAAGAGTTAGCTTAGGAGTCCTGGAAACCCAAATCTTCCATCCATAGAACGGGTCTAACTTTCATAGCCATAGCGTCACTGTCCCAACAAATTCTTTGCAACCCTGTTCTCAAGGAATTGCAAATGGAAGTGAGGGGTTACTCACACTACAGCTCATTCAATTGCTGTCTTTTCTACTGAGAAATTTACTATGTGCCAGTTAATGTTACCTTTGATGGTGATTGTGTTACATGGAACAATAAATCAGCTCAGTGATTCTGGGAAATAACACCCTTGGCATTTATAATTAATGACACACAAAAAAACCATGACAATAAGAAGTGGTCAATATGTCAAGACTTACTGAAGGGTTTTTACTCAGCCCTACTTCCTGGCCACAGAGAGAAAGGACATGTACCAGCTTTTCCTTTGTTCTTTTCTAAAAGGAAAAGAAAAGGGTTTAGTAGTAGTATCATTTCCTTGTCTATCCATCCTCCTGAAGAGAGTACCCAAAGAGGCTAATAATTCTCAATGAGGAAACACTGGTGAACAGTTTAATTGTAAAGAAATTATTTTCTTCTATAGAGAGCTGATCTAAAAATGCATAAAAAGCAGCATCCAATTTTTTTGGTACTTAAAATCAAAGCCAAGCTTGTGAATTCTATTCTAAGTGGAACTATTCACTGGAGTACATTTAATGACATGCACAGGCACAAGACTGGTGCCTTCCTCATTTTAAATTTGATACGTTAAAAAGAGCAACAAAGATATACATTCTGTATATATATCTTTTTATTTTACTCAAGCTGGTAGTTAACAAAAGCCAACAGTGCAATATTATTCTGTATTCAGGAGCAAGGCTTTGGGATTTTTTTTCATAACCAGAGCTGGAAGAGAAGTCTACCTGAGAGTACTGAGGCCTTTTCCAGCTCACAGGAACAAGGACGTTGGAATTAGAACCTGATGAAGTTGATGAAGCGCTTCGAGTGACAGCCATTGCCCTGGGTTTACCATCTCGTCCAGAAGAACTCTGAAGTTCATCATATCGTCTCCCAATTATTGGAGTCTTAAGTAAGAGAGAATTAAATCACATTCCATACGAGAATGTTAATGAGCTTATAAAGGCACCCCTTAACACAGGGGTAGGCAACCCCTGGCAGAGGTGCCAGAGCATGGTGCACACAGGCATTTTGTTTGGCACGCAGACCTTGGGGCAGATAGTGGGGAAGGGACCAGGGCCAGGGCTGTGCTGCCACAAGGATCAGGCCCCTTGTGGCTCCCCACACTGTCTGCCCCATGGCACGCCAACATTGTACAAGTCAAAGTTGCAGATGTTTTTGGTACTCTGTCCAAAATTCTTGCTGACCCCTGCTTTAGCAATTGATGACCCACTCTGAAGGCAGGCAAATTTTTATGTGCCAATTTTTTTTGTTCTCCTTGTTTGCAAACACTATGTAAGTTTCTACATGTATATTTCTTCCAAAATTTGTTCTTAACTTATCTTTCTCATGCCTGTCCCCCCCATAATATGTGAGCAGTCATAAGCAACTTAAAAGCTAGTTTGCAGCACAAGAAATGAAGAAAACAAATGTTAAGTACACTTACTTGAACTTTGGATTTCTCACAGCTGTTGTTTTACAGGTTTGTCCTGACCCCACTCCAGCAGAACATTTAAGCAAATACTGAAATGTTTGGCTAGATTAGGGGTGGTGGTCGGTACCTTGTAGAACGGAGGTCATAAACAACCATGAGAAAAATACTGATTTCCTTTTATGGTAGGATTTTTTTTAAACTTTATTTCTCAGTAGCTATTGCAAGAAAAACCCTCCAATCGTGCAAACCCTTGCTCAACTCCAGTCAGGCAAGTGGCCCCTTAAAACCAATAGGACTACTCAGTTGGATAACATTAAGATGGTGTTTAACTGTCTGTAGTTTCAAGGTGCAAATCTGCTGTAAAAGGATATGTCTACTGTGTAACAAACTTAGATAACATATTTTTGTACTTTTTAATTAATTGTACTTAAATTAAGTCATGTACTAGTGCTGCCAACTGTAATACAGGCACAAAAATGCATTATATATCTATTTTTCCTTATACCCAAGGAATGATTAGGCTGGATACGACTGGACTATTAAAATAAATTCTAGGAATTCCAGATGGAGACATCCCAAATGGGTTATTAAAGTTTAATTTTGGACCTAAACTAAAGCTTGTAATATGATGTTTTTGTGCAATTCTCTCTGCTTTCATACTTCCTTAACTCTCATAGAATTAAAACATGTCTACTAGACAACAGAGGAAAGTTATATTTTTAAGTAGCATAAGTTGATTAATTGTAGGCACCACCTCTGAAATATCAAAATGAAACTCCAAAGTTTTCCCTGGTAGTTCCTTGGATGCACTGGTCCATACTCGATGTATTTCCATTTTTGAAAGATCACTGTGTTGATAGGAAGGTAAAACCAGGCTGGCAGAGCGAGAAACAACCAACTTCAAGATATTTAAGGCCTCCCTCCAGTGAACGCTCTGGAAACATACGATATTTACAAAAACAATTTGAAGTAAGAATTCACATACATTAAAATCAAATTAATAGCCAGTTTATTATATGTATTAAACACTTTATACATTTTGCTATTCAATACACTTCTAGTTCTAGTGATGATGCTTGCAGAACAGAAATACTATGTTAAAAGGAATGAACATTTACATGAATAACATCCACAGTTCAACACAAAGAATAAAGACTGCAATCAACCCTTATACTATGGAGCATGAATTAACTACTAGCCAGGTCAGGAAGATATTTCCTCCAAGGTGTAATAGTGTATTTATTTGAAATTAGATTCATTATTATTATTATTGGTTGTGGACAGCAGAGATATTCACATGGTACAGCACAATCAAAATGTGAATTCTTTCACCTGAAGTACCTTACTTTTATGCCCCTGGTCTCAGCTGTAGTGAAAGAGAGAGGTATACAGGATCAGATGTTGTATATCAGGGTGGTCATTTCCCAGGGGTGAATCTACAAAAGAGCCTAGGACTTAATTCCCACTTTAGGGATCTACAACAATTACTCAAGTCTAAGACGAAGTTTTATTCTCCCTAAGCTGCCCCTCCCCATGTAGCCTCTGCTTCCCTGCCTGCCCCTCTCCCTCCCCTTTTACCTTTGCTTTGTGCCAACAGGCTCCATCCATGCTACAGCCCAGGATACTGAGCACAGCCCTGTAGCAGTGGCGCACAGTGTCTACGGCTTCTATGGAGGCTGCGCTGGGGTTGTGTTCAGTGTCCCAGGCTAGAATGGGAATGGAGCCGCCATTATGGAGCAGAGGCTGGGTGAGGAGGGGAGCAGTGGCTGCAAGGGTGGGGTGGGGGGCAGGCACACAAAGTGGGCAAACTGCTTGAACTCTCCACACTTGCTGGCCCTGCTACAGCGGTGGGAGTTATGAATTAAAGACAACCCTTCAACAATTAGATTCTATATGTGGAAAATTCTAACAAATTCATATGTTTTCCATGTATAGAATCTAATTATTTGGGGGCCATCTTAAATTCAGGGTTGTCTTACATTCGAGTAAATACAGTCATTTTAAAATCACCTCAAAACCCCTACCTAACCTGAGATGTTCCTAAGGCTATGTCTACACAGTAAGCTCACCATGCCTGGTAGCTGTTTTGGTCCATTAGGCTGCCTAAATTGGCATCAGCATAGTTTAATACATGCAGCATTTCAGCAGTCTTATTAGCACTGTTGAGTGTCAATGCCAATTAACCAACCCATAGCATCACACAGACATGGACACACCAATTCTGTCTTAGGAGGCAGACCACATAGAACAGGCATTAGGGAGCTGTAGGCAAGCTTGCTTGCATGCATGCTAGATCTCTAATGCAGACAACATCTTTATTCTTTAAGAGACTAAGTTTCCATTAGTAGTGTCCCCCATTGCCTAAATTTCTATCTCTGGTATATGCAGAACAGCCAAAGCCTTGACAGCATGGAGCTGCTCAGGGCCTGTCTTATACCTATGTCACAGCAGAATTTAAAAACCAGGATCCCTGCCACCTGTCATAACCCTGAGGCCCAATCCATTCGGTGTTTTCTGAGTACATCTACCCCCCAAAAAAATGTGTGTGTAAGTGGCTTATGCCTTACAACTGAAGTTTTAAGTACTTAACTGGGACATGAGAAACCCAGGCTCAAATTCCCACTCTGCTTGATTGTAAGCTGAGACTGCAACCTGACACCCACATCCTGATTGAGGGCCCTTGCCACTAAGCTACAGAGGCCCTTTATTTGACCCAATATCCATTTATATTTAAATTATATTTATATTTAAATGAATATCCATTTATGCAATATGGAACAACCTCAATAGCAAGGATTAACACCCAACCCAGAACACCAGTAACCAGATAGAGGAAGGAGAAGAGCTGCTTTTTACTCCAATTAGACAGGCGTGATTTCAAGCCAGGTCTCACAGGTGACTGCCCTGCTAGGAATCAGGGCACTCGTGACCTCACAAACTTGTTATGAGTTAAGGGCTGGCTTGGCTAAGTCCAAGAGAAGGCTTATGGCTGTACTGAAGATAGGTAAGTGTTTTTTTCCTCCAGCCTAGGGTTAACAACTCTCTTTGAGAAATGGGGTTTAAACCCCATGCTTCTCCTGGCATTTCTTACTACTTAATTTAGGCAGATTCCTAAATGTGTCGTCTTCAGTGACTCCCATTCTTAGGTATCTTACTCTTCCCATGCATTTTATAGTGAGCCTAAGCTTGAGGCTGTGAATTCCAATAGGTGTCAGGGTGACTAAAAGTTACATGTGGCAATGCTGCCCCTCAGCCCCTTGGTGAATTAAATTTCTACATGGAGGCTTTATAGATCACAGGAATTATTGTTCCATACACACCTTAATATTTTAAGAAGATATAGTATTTACCTGCACATATTTTTCAATGGTCTTTAGAACCTCCATGTTAAACTGTTTAACAGGAATGGCTGATAAGTCCATATAGCTAAGAAGACTGTAGATCATCTGCAAGAGGGACTGTTGCATGCTGGGAAGGCCTTTCTCCAGTAGCTATGAAAAAACAAGTGAAAAATAATTAGACATTGAGAGACTGTTTTTCAAAAATACCAGCACCAAATCAGTTATACATAAATATAATTTGCATAGTTCAAAAGCAATTTCAGAATGTCTTGTTACAATAACTAGTTATGATATTACCAAGAAGATGAACTACAGAAAATAAATTACAGTCTTGGGCTAACTGTATGTTTTATTAACGAAACATGAAGCTTCTTGTCTTTCCACTATTTCTATTCCAAGCTCTCCAGAAAGCTTAGTCAAGAACTGAGAAATCTGGCACCTGTAAAACACAGAATTGAATTAGAAGAAAAAATAAATAAAATTAGCAGACTAGCTTTTTATTTCTTCTTTGCTGGAAGCCTGGAGAAATGAGAGGAGGCACAGATGGAAGGAATTCAATCACTATAATATAGGCAAAAAAGTGTATTTACCCAAATAAACTACTTAGCTAAAGGTGTAGGGCATCAGCAACCACAGAAGCACACAGTCTTTAGGCACAGAGGTGGAATATCTGGTTTCTGTTATGGTAGGAGATGATACAGAGATGAACTTCAACTAAAGCTCCAAACTTTGAAATATTTGGAGCAAGGGATCTCAACTTTACAAATGTCATTGTGCTTAACTTTACATGTGTGACTAACCCCACTGACTTTCCAGATTAGAACAGTGGTCACCAGCCAGTTGATTGTGATTGACTGGTTGATCGGAGAGCCTCTGATAGCTGATCTCAGTCTGGGGGGCTCAGCCTAAAAGCCCCACAGACTGATATGGGCCCAGCCCCCCAGACTGATATTGACTGTCAGAGGCTCTGCGATCAGGAGTGGCGAGATGCACATGGGGAGCAGCGGGACACATATGGCTGGGCTGAGCCGCAACCCCTGCCACTGGGGCTGGGCTGGGCTGGGCTGGGCTGGGCTGGGGGGAGTGGGATGATCCCCCTCGGCACCCCTTGCCCCTGGGTGAGTTGGGCCCCAAATGGGCCAGGCCAGGGGAGGGTTTGAGCCTGAGCGGCTCATCCAGGTTTGTGGTGGAGCTCCTGCGGCTGCACGTACTCCGGCAGAGGCTCGGGGGGGCACGTGCATCCCCAATCTGTGCACGGGGCAAAGCCACTGCACACTGGGCTTTGTGCCTTGAGCTCTGCTGCAGATGCCTTGCCCTGGGCTTTTGCCCCAAGCCCCCCTGATCTTTGCATGGGGCAAGGTGGCTGCCGTTGTGCATGGCTGTAGTAGGGCTTAGGGCACAAAGCCAAATGCGCAGTGGCAGCTGCCTTGTCCTGCACACAGATCTGGGGGGTATGGGCCCCCCAGGCCTCTGCCTGCCCCACTCCCACTCAGCCCACCCCACTCCCACTCAGCAGCAGGAGCCCCCTCACATGCCTGGATGAGCCACCCCAGCTCTGAACTTTCCCTGGCACAGCCTGCCCCTGCCCCACTCCCTCCCTCACCACAGGGGCCTTGATCTGCCCCTCTCCCCCATAGGTGGATTAATGAACAGGTGGACCCCAGGATCCTCATCAGCAGGGAAGTGAAAGCCTCAGTTTTAAACTCCGTGCCCATTTTTGGTGCCAAGTTTAAAACTGCGGCTTTCACATTTGCTTCCCTGGGAGCTGGAACCGGGGTCCCATGACCAATGGGGCTGGAGGGAGAGAGGGCAGGGATGGGGTTCGGCTGGGAGAGCCATGTGCATGAGGGACCAGGTTAGAGAGCTTCTGGAGGGGCTGGACGTGTTC